AAACCTAGTCCGTGTGCTCTATGTTTGAACAATAGGAAAGGTGCCCTAAGAACAAGACCCCAACCATCAAAGTCTCAAACTTGGGGAGATGTTAATTCACTTGCAAGAAGAGAGCCTGAAAAGGTCACCAGAGATGCTCTGTTTGCAAACAACCACCAGCTATCTAGCGAGGGGCTGTTCCAGGATAGGCAGCTAATGTGTACAGAAATCATTGTAGCCACTGCACAAGGCAGGCACACCACATCTGGAGCTGGCAGAAGGACTTGACTATGTCAGCCTCTTGCTGCTGGTTTTACAGGCATGTATGGTCATGCAGACTTCCATGAAAGCCTCAGAAACCACTGAGGCCCAGGTAACATGTAGCTGCATTGGATTCTCTGAGATGCCATTATGTGCAGATATGAATATCAAGTTCAAGTTTCAAGAGTGACTCCAGGATGCTTGAAATGCTTGGTCCATGAACTATCACTAAGAAAAGCTTTCGAACCGAGCGGAGCTGGACCAAGAGAGTCTACATATATTACAGGTGGCAGAACTGGAGAAGTAGGGCTGCTGTTTGTCAACTTGCCTTCATCTGGAATTAACTGAAAACCTAAGTTTCTGGTCACACCTGTGAGAGATTTTTAGTTAATTGGGTCACTTGAGCTAGGAAGATCGCCCTCAATTCCAGATCACTTGAGGAGGGAAGACTCACCTTGAATATGGACCGTCCGAGATCAGAAGATCCACCTTCTTGTGGTAGCTTATATAAAGGACAAGGAAGAAAAGGGCTTTTGCTCTTTGCTTGTTTGCCCTTGCTCTATCCATATTGGTATTAGAGCCTGCTTCTTCAGGACTGGCGTACACTGAAGGCCAGCTAAGACATCCAGCCTCATGGACTGAACAACCACTGGATTCTTGGACTTTCTGTTAGGAGACAGCCATTGTTGAACAGCTGGACCACAGTCTGTAAGTCACTCTGACAATGCTCCCTCCCCATATGGATAGAGAGGTTCATTCTATCCGTTCTACACCTCTAGAGCAGTGGTTCTCAACCTGTAGGTTGCAATCCCTTTGACAAACCTCTATATCTTCAGAAATATTTACTATGGTTCATAGCAGTAACGAAATTACAGTTACGTTGCAGAAGCACAATTTTATGGTTGGGCATCCCCGCAGGATATATTAAAGGGTCGCGGCATTAGGAAGGTAAGAACCACAGCACTAGAGAAACCTGAGTAATACAGCTTGTTACCAGGAGTGGGGTGGACCTTTCCACCTCAGTTGGTCTGGATTTAAGGTGGGTCTTCCTGGCTAAATTATCCGATTAACTTAAAATCCATCATCCATCAAAGGTGTGTCCAGTGACTCGAGTTTTTAGTTAATTCCAGATGTAATCAAGCTGACAACCAAGAACAGCTACCACAGCTGCCTATGCTCATTGGTAACGGACACAAGTCCAGAGACCGGACATGGGTCTGCAAAGTTTGGTGTTTGCTCTTCTGAGTGTTAGCCTATCATTCTTTACTGTTACTGTTCTTCTCTTTGGGAATGGATATGTTTATCCTATGCCAATGGAAATTATAAACATACAACTTAAAAAGCAAAGACAGGAGCTCACAATAAAGGGGCTGCCTGAGTCTTGGGAGAGACTTGCTACTGGGATGTTAAGGACTGTGAGGACTGCAGGAGCTGGAGCATCCTATAGTCTGAGACGGCCATGAGCCTCTGAGAACCAAGCATGGAGTCCTATAATTTTAAGGTGATATATTGGGCATCAAGTTGACAAAGGGTGGTCTCCTGGGGGTTACTCTTGATTATTATCCTGATAGAACTTAGAATTACCTCAGAGACAAAGCTGGGCACATCTGTGAGGATATTTTCAGATAAGTTTAACTGAGGAGGGCAGACCAAGCCTGAACGTAGGTAGCATCATTCCACAGGCTGTAAAGGAGAAGGCTAGTAGGACATTTAGTCTCTCTTTGCTTCCCAACTGCAGGCACAGTTCAACCAGTCACCTTGTGCTCCCATTGCCATGCCTTCCCTGCTGTGATGAACTGTGTCCCTTCCTACATCTGGAGCCAAACTAACCCTTGCTTTGTCAAGCTGGTTTTACCCAGTGTTGGCTACAGCAACGAGGAAAACAGTTAATGCAGGTGTCTCCAGTGTGACCCACTGCTATGAACACGGTATGCAAACATCTCTTTGAGAACTTGTATTTATCTGATTTTAACGTAATGCCTAGGAGTGGAAATGCTGGATATAAAGAAAAGTCTGTCTATCTATCTATCTATCTATCTATCTATCTATCTATCTATCTATCACTGTTTCCCATGACTGTTACTTCATTCTACACCTTCACCTGTGCCCAGGAGGGTTAAACCTGTTATAGTTCACTCGAATTGAAAGTTTAGTAGTATTCAACAAAATACATCCTCCTTTGTTTTTCTTATATCAGTTGATGGACATTTGGGTTGCTTCTGCCCTTTGGTAACAGTGAATCCTGCTGCTGTGGCTATTGGGGTACCGATACCTAAATTCCTGCTTTCAGTGGTTTCTGCAGTCTTGAATTTTAGATGGGATTGCTGACTGTGTAGTGATTCATATTTAACATTTGGGGACCAGGTCATTCTGAACCGGTATGGACCTGAAGCCTTCCTTCCTGCATCCACTCTCCAGAAAGCCTTTAGAGGCCAGCACAGAGGGCAGGCAGCTGACAATGTGCTCAGCTGAGGGCCTCAGAGGAGAGCCCAGGGGTGAAGTCTGAGCGGTCCCGGATCCTCAGGCAGAGAAACTGGGGAAGAGATTTTCTGTCCTTTGAAGGCGCTAAGCTCCCGTGACCAGCCCGCCCACCCACTTGGGGGGCAATGAGCCAGACAGGTGACCCCGAGGTGCTCAGTGCTCAAGGCAGGCACAACCTGCTCTCCCTGTGCGGGATAGCGATAGAGTTGGCGCTCTGGACACCCCCTCTGTGTCCAGACACTTCTGCAGGCTCAACTCCAGTCGACTCGGGCTCATCTCGGAGCTCAGGGATCTCCAGGGTGGGGGTGAGGGTCGTGAGTGAGGGGTGGGGATAGAGAGGACAAGAAGGTGAGCACGCGGCGGGGACAGCGGGCATGGGAGGGAAATCACTGACTATGGGCAGGAACATCGGCTGGGGCGGGGCAACGCGCTGTGGGCGGGGCTGGCTAGTCTCAGCCGCTGCTCTTGTGTGTCCGCAGGGGTTGCAGAAACCCAGCTGCCTCCGGAACCTGCAAAGACCCTCAGAAGACAGAGGAGCTCCGTTCCCTGCTGCAGAGCTCCCAAGGAGTGTCTGGTCTTCGCCCTGGTCCTCAGGTACCGACAACCCCGGAGACGCTCGAGAACCATGCATAGGGAGTGGACAGAGCCCAGACTGCCCCCGACTCACAGACTTAGGTCAAACCGGAAAGGGTCCCTCAGGACTGAAGCCCCAGCAGCCAAGAACAGTGGTTAGTAGGCTTCTCCACAAGCTGAGGACAATTCCAGGAAAGACCATGGGACAAATCCTCCAACTGTCTATCTCTCCCTTAGGTGTTTCTGGACCCTTTCTTTACATCCTGACTTGGAGCAGTGCTGTGTCCTCTCAGCTCCAGATTCTGTCTCTTATCTGATAAGAGCAAAGCTGAGGACTGAGCTGGCCAAGAAAGAAGGGCAAAACCCCATGAAAAGCTGTGAAATAGAGCAAGTGGGACGAGCCTCCTGGGGTGCTGAGGGAATTTAGCGGTGTCCTCTTGCTCCTGGAGAGGATTCCTGGCCGGGGGGTGGGGGGGGTCTGTCTTGGGAACAATTTACTTTTTCCCTTTTTCAGGATCTCAGATTTGGCTATTTTCTTCCCTTCTGACATTCAGGGTATTTTCCAGACCCCAGTCTTCTCCCAGATTCAGTTCCCTGACCTGATGTCTTCATGTCTTGGGAGGGGGTGTAAAGGAAAAGTGGGCGGGGGGAGGGGAGATAAGAGATTCGCTACTGATAGGCCATCTCCCCTGTCCTGCTCTATGGGATGCTGATCTCTGATTCATGGTTCCCTCCTCTCCTTAGAGCTGGCCTAAAGGTCTGAGTTCTGACTCCCATGGTTCTGGGACCTAACTCTGCCTCTCCAACAGCTCTGAGCTTTACAGACAGTATTGATCTGCCTGAAGGATGTTAAAACCCTGCGTGTTTAAGCTATTAACTGGAGGACACTCCGCTCACTCAGGGATTTTGCCCTCAGGTTTTCGTTCTAACCCTCTAGGTTGAGTGACAGCCTGTGATTGTGCCCCTGCGACCACTGCCTAGGGCAAGCCTTGGCACGCAGTGTGCCAACCTTCTAGAGTCCCAGCAGATTTTGGCCTGGGCACAGGAATCTTGGTGAGGAGATGTGGCTACTGGTGGGCTCCATGCTCAGTTCCCTGTAGAGGGTTCCGTGTTCAGGGCTCTGATTTTGCAGGTGTGTTTTGCAGAAACCTATGGCATGTCATTTTTTCCCAGATGGGGGGAGCACCTATTGTTGCTGCAGAATGGGACTGTTCCACAAGGCTAGAGTTCAGGCTGTCAGCTAGGGATTGGGGTTTGGAGCTGGCCACCTCTCTGTTCTGCCTTTCCACACTCACGGCTTTGGTCTTTGAGGAAGAGCACAGGTTTTCGGTCTCCATTGGAATGGAAATAAATGGAGTTACAGTCTGTCTCCCCAGTCCCCCCGCCTTCCCTAGCTGAGTGGAAATGTGGTTTCCATTCTCTCGTGTTCTCTCCCTGGCCCCTTTCTTCCACTCCATTATATGTGTGTACGGTGAGCAGGTGGCTAATGGACCTGCATAGGTTTCAGGATGATTTTAAACTTACCCACGTTCTCTCCAACACGTCCCCGACCATGTGCGTGTCTTTCAAATGTTTAAAATGGAACTCCAATACTGTGTTCCTCAGATGCTGGTTAGGAAGATCTGACTCACCCAGGAAAAACCAAGAGCCTTGGAGACACCGCTCTGGGACAGCTCCCGGTGCTATTCATGGCACCACCTGCCTGGATGGAGACCACCGTGGGGGCTCTGGGTGAGAATATCACAGACACTTCCACCAACTTCCTTCCTACATTTGATGCCCATGGAGGAGCCCAAGCTGCTTCCTTTCCGTTCACTTTCAGCTATGGTGACTATGACACGCCCTCGGATGAAGAGGAGGATGTGACCAAGTCTCGGACTTTCTTTGCTGCCAAGATTGTCATTGGCATGGCTTTGGTGGGTATCATGCTGGTGTGTGGCATTGGCAACTTCATCTTTATCATTACCCTGGCCCGCTACAAAAAGCTGCGCAATCTCACCAACCTGCTGATTGCCAACCTGGCCATCTCAGACTTCCTAGTGGCCATCGTGTGCTGCCCCTTTGAGATGGACTACTATGTGGTGCGTCAGCTCTCCTGGGAACACGGTCATGTCCTGTGTGCCTCTGTCAACTACCTGCGTACTGTCTCCCTATATGTGTCCACTAACGCCCTACTGGCCATTGCCATTGACAGGTGAGTGCCACAAAGATGGACACTGAGCAAGGGTGTTGCCTTGGTCCCTTTCTTTCCTGTAGTTGCATGATGATGACATGCATCTGTCGTGCCCGTAGATGGCACCCATGGGGACTCAAAAGCCCATTGGCTGAACATCTCACCTTAGTCAGGGCTGGAGGCAGCTAGGCCTGGGGCTGGGCAGTAGGAAAGTCTTTGCTCACTGTCTGTGGACGTTCTCCTAGATAAGCCCAATCACAGCTTAGACAGGTGGTAGGAGGACGCGTGGAGGGATGGGGCTAAGTTATAAGGAGTTACTTCTTATGTGAACATGAAAATCTGGAGAGACTTCCCCATCTCATCTAGATTTCCTCTATTAAACTATGATCTCCCAGCACTAACTGGTTTTTAAATAAGATCAAGGGAATTGTTTTGGATAAAAAAAGCTGTGTGTGTGTGGGGGGGGGGGGTGACCAGAAAAAGAGCAGGTGGTTGCTTACTTTTTTTGTTAGTGTTGTCTTGACCCCACCTCACTTCCTACCCATCATGCTACAGTACAAGACTGTCTCTAGTGATGGGGTGTGAGCTCAGTGGGAGCAACCTCTGATTGTCTTTCTTATTCTGGGGTGTTTCACTTGCTGTAAACTGGTGCTACTGAGCCAGGATCACCTTGGTTTCAGGGAGTCTTTGCAAGCCTCTTGGTGCATTTGCCTCGAAGTACACATCACCTCGCTATGGTCTCCGGACAGCTACCCTGAGGGGCTGGTCAGGCTTCCATGTTCCTTGACACAGCTTGCTATCCTCCTTATCCAGGGAGCCTGAAGCACAGGCTCTCCTTGTTCCATGGCCTCAGGGCTCTGAGGTGTTTGACTTGGGCTCTAAGTCAGAGCAACTGAGCAAGTTTTCTGGCAATCAGCTGGAGGTAGGATGGCGTGTGAAAGGCTAGTTTCTAAGGAGGGGACACCAGAGTCTGGTGTTAAGAACACTGAGGTGCGGGGCTCCAGTCTCCTTTCTCCAGAGAGTCAGCCGCTGATGGCCCCTTGGTCTGCAGCCCATAACAGGTATGTTGTGGTCCTCAATACAAGTCACCAACCTTGGGACATTTGCCCACTTACTTAAGGAATCCAAATAACCCTAGTTGAGGATAGCATCAACCAAGCTTTCTGCTTCCCCAGTGACTTTCAGGGCTGCCCAGGTCAGGCTCCTGCAGCTTTGTCTCTAGCATCTCCTGACTATGGAAACGCTGCCTTGTCTCTTAGCACAGGACAAAACATACGGGGTCATTTCCTGGACTTTCACATTAGTGACACGGCTTTACCCAGGAGATGCTCTTGACTTCTAGAAGGAGGATAGATGGGAGCCTGCTGTGACAGAGTCCTGCTTCTGCACGAGATCCGTGCACCTCGGAGGGGGCTAACAACTGTGCGGGAAAGAAGCCAGGAGTGTGGAGCTACTACTAACAGGGATATTGATCAACCACGGTATGGGAACAGTATCCTCAATACTGTTCCCGTTTTCCCAGCATCAGCTGCTTTGGAAGATGGCATCTATCTCCTGCGCAGTGCAAACCAGACACACGGAGACAGATGAATCCCATCATGCTCTGCTCTGGGGAGGGCTGCTGGTGCTAGGAGTGGGCTTCTGACTGGAAATTCACACACACATGTGGGAGAAAGCCCCAGGTGCTGGCCTAGGCCTCCCTCAGTCTTAGGTGACTCACTGCCCCAACACGTTAAGTTTTTGTTGTTTAAGCTGACATTTGTAGTCTTTGCCCCAGATGGCTTTGTTTTTTATTTTATTATGCTGCTGTCATCTAATTTCAATTTTGTGGTTCAGTCGTCATTAATTTTTTTCCTTGTGAGCTGTTCAAAACCTAGTGATATTTCAGGTTTGATCTTCTCATCTTATAGCAGAAGACACCCTGCTGGTAGGATGCCTTTATTTAGTGAAATTGCTGCAGGAACCGATAGTGTGTACTTGACTTGAGTCTGTTGGTGGAGGCCCCTCCCTGCACGGTGGGGCTTTCCCTGGCTTTCGGTTATCTGCCCTCTTCCTGCCTCAGGCTTTGAGGACAGTAAGGGAATCTCATGTACTTGGTTGTTTTGATGATTGAATGAAATAATAGCTAAAATACAAGGCATTTTCTTTTCTGTCTTGGTATTTTGAGACTAGGTCTCACTGTAATGTTCAGGATGGTTTTGAACTCACAATCCCTCTGCCTCATGCATCAGAATGCTTGGACTATGGGGGTGAGCTGCCGTGCCGGGACAGAATAATATGAAGTCAGCACTAACATGGAATAAGGAGTGGATATCATGGTTCTCAAGTCAATATTAAGAAGACCGCAAGTGATAGCAAAACTGAATAAACCGACTGTTTCCAGTATAAGTTTTAGAAGCGGGCTACAAAGCACTGCTCACAGCACAGCTTGCCTTCTGCCAGCCTGGGCTTAGTGCTTCTGTTCCTGCCTCCATTCTCTTCCTAGGCACTGAGGCTGAAAAGTCTCTCTCCTCCTGGCCAGTCTCGCCGTTCTAGAGCATTTGGCCAGTTGTCCTGGTCACACTTGGCCCTTCAGAAACTCACTTGGCTGGGTGGTCCAGCCTTCATCTGCCTTTAGTCTTCTGCATATAGTGTCTCTTGGTTCTGCCCAGCTGTCCCGTTAGATCCACCCTAGTTTCCTTCACTATTGCACGCATTCTTTCAAAAAGAGCGTCTCCGTCGAGTGATTGCTCAGTGCTGGATCCTGTTCCAAGGGCTGGGGATAACGGTAGAAAACAGAAAAAAGCACTGGCCCCTGACAAAGCTACACCAAAGGGGTGAAGAGAGCTCTCTGTCAGGCAAAGAAATATGGAAGGTGATTTCAGAAATGAGCAACACAAAATAACAATGACAACAACAAAGAGACCCGCCAGCAGAGTAATCGAGGGTGATGTGGACGAGTCAGGAGAGGTATCTCTGAGACAGTAGCATGACCCAAGAGTGACACGGAAGGCTCTGAGGACTGAGAGACAGTGTCTCAGATAAAGGGACTTGTAAGCCCAAAAAGCCTCAAAGCAGGGACAGACTTGATGGTTCCAGGGATAGAGAGATGGCTTTGGGGTTTAAGGCTGGTAAGCAAGGCTGAAGCCCACCAAATCTTCTTGAACGCAACCCTGGCTTCTTCCTGAAATAACTGATACATATTCTGAACCTTGCTAGCTGAGGACTGGAGTGAAATGCCTTGTCCAAAGCAGCATAGCTGGGCCACACCTTTCTGCAGAGTTCAGCCCCAGCTTCTCACTGCCTTTCCAGCATTTTATTGCTTGGTCCCACACTGCTCAGGTGAAGTAAACACATCTTTGTCCCTTTTCCAAAAATGATTGTTGTCCTTTTGACAAGTTTCTTTTCACCTAGTACCAAACCACTGACAGGGGGTAAAGTTTTATTAAAGTTAAACTAGGTGCCCCAAAACCACAGACGGCAAAAGTGAGAAAAGATGTAGACGGATCACTCGAGGCAAGGAACATCCGGATACTGACGAAACGGTTAAATAATAATCCAGGGTCAGGAGTGGATACTGGTGAAACGGCTAAGTCATAAGCCAGGGTGGCATTTACAGTGACGTTTGGAGAAGAGCAGGGTGCAGTGGGCAAAAGAGGTGGTGCAGAGGAGGCGGACTTTAATGTGGTTGTCAACAGATGATCAACAGCAGGTCTTCTGAAGGCCAGGATGGTGCTCAAGGAAGCCAGGTGGTGGGTCCTCCCGGTGACTGCGGAGCCTTGGGGAAGCATATGGACCAGGGACTGAGTCTTCAGAGTCATGATCAAAAAAGATGGGGTTATATTTCAGAAGATATAAAAATCTACCAGACGATGACAACCTGAAGGAGCTGGCAAGATCCTGCAAGAAGTCCCCATCCCCACCCCAACCCTTGGGCAGGGCCTCTGGGCCTCCACTTTGATGTGTGTTGAGGTGTCTGTAACATTCTGGTCTGCTGCTTATGAAATGCTGTGAAACTCCTCTTCCCCTGGCGTGGAGGGCTGAGGAAACCAGGGTATGTGTCCCCTGGTGTTGAGTTGTGTAGCTCATGGTCAGAAAGCACAGATGCCCCTGATTAGTTAGTTCATCAGCTGGGGGTGCATTACCCATGTCATGGCCAGCCTGGTAGCTGCTACAACCGCCATTCTCATGTGAGACCTTAGATGGGGGCCTTAGACCTTAGACATGGGTCCCAGACTCTGCTGAAACATCCAGCCCATGGTTATCACACCACCCTGCACCCTGGCAACCTTTATTTGTTATTCTCTGAGAACTGCTGGCTTTGAGAGGATCTGAACCTAAACACTGGAGCTAGGGACACAGAGCAAGTGAAGCCATGCTCATAGAGAGGGAAAACCTGCTGCTAGGGGTCTGACTGCCTCAAGGAACAGTGTAGGTAGAAAACAAGTCTGCGGTCGAGAGAAAAGAGAGAGGCTGCTAGGATTTGGTGAAGGCCAGGGAGAAGGGAGCTTGCCCCACAATGCTGGAAGGGAGGTAGCAAATGGTATCGTAGAGAGAACACGGGGCATATGGAAAGATGTGGGCCAGCGAGCTGTGCAGCTTTTGACAAGTCCTTGCCCTTCTGTATGCTTCAGCTGGCCGCTCTAGCACACGGGCATCTTTGCTCTCTCTTTCCTTCAGCAGGGTGGAGATGACCTAAATGAAAGTATGGGCTTGCTATGGTAAACTTCATTCTGATATAGAGTTCCAGAGCCAAGGCTGATGGAAATCTCTGGAATAGTTTTCTACACGTTTCCTGTTAGTTTGTGTATCAGTGATGGCAGTGTTAACTGGGCGAGGATCAACTGTATAAAATGGCTAACACCAGGAGAGCGCTGGCCTTCTCTACTGACTGTGGATGTGATGTGTGCGACCAGCTGCTTCAAGCTCCTGCCATGACTTCCCTGCCAGGATGGACTGTGGCAAAATGTATTTGCCTCAAACTGTGAGGCAAAATAAGTGCTTTCTTTCTTAAGATGGTTTAGTCAGAGTATTTTAATCACAACTCTGTAACTAAGAGATGGTGTGTGTGTGTATGTGTGCATGTGTGCGTGTGTGCGTGTGTGTGTGCGTGTGTGTGATGTGACCCTAAGAGCCTCTACATGCTAGACAAGTACTCTACCACCGAGCCGCACTTCAGCCAACATGATGGCTGCGATGAAGAGCCCATGTATGCACAGTGCCAACAGTGCACAGGATTCTGTTTGTTTTCCAGCACTAAGGAGCTGCCTAGAGTCCCAGGGAGGCATGTTAGTGGCCAGCAGCAGCCATCTGGGGTGTAAAGAGGGTACTCATGCTCTATCCAGCTTCTTCAGACTCCTGGGAGCTGGAAGAGCACAGGAATCTCACTTCAGGATCCTCCAGGTTCGCCCAGCGTGGGATGATTTCTTGTGAAATTCAACCAGAAAAGCACAAGAAGGGTTCTTTCTTCAGACCAAAGTCCCAAGAAAGATGACTTCAAAGGGGTAGTCTGCAAGGGAACAGAATTGACCTGGCTCTCCTTCAGGGCCCTGTCACATTGCTAGCGACTCTGCCTGAGATCAGCTATGGACATAAAAGAGTTTGTTTCCAGTGTTGGTCAGTCCTTTCCACTCCACTCCCGTCCTTCTAACCGTGCCAGCTGCGCAAAGACTTCCGGAAAGCCAGAGTTCTCTGCACACGAGTGCACTCTGGGAAGGCTTCTTTCAGGCTACCGGAGTGACTCATAGCCTCATGAAGTGCTCTCTGCTTCCTGGACCTCTGTGGTAACTGTGTAGCCTCTTCAGGAGAGAACAAAAGCAGCGTCTTTTACTGCCTGATGCTTTGTGGTTAAAAAAGAAAAGCCATGCATACGCTAATTGATTTTCACGTCAGCCCTGTAAGATGGGGTCTAAATGTTTTCTGTCAAGGGTCTTGTGTTATATAACCCTGAGAAAGTTCCTCATCTTTCAGCAGGTGGAAAATGAGGTGAATACACTTTTCCTCTCTGCATGCCGAACAATGCTTTCTAAAACTTGGAATGAAAACAAAACCTTGGCCCATGCTTTGGTTGGAAAGGGTGGTTTTTCCTATCAACTAATTCAAGTTGGAGTCATCAGGGCTACTCAACTTTGAACCTTGCAGGCGTTAGGAGATACGATGGACCAGGGCCTAGCCAGAGACCCATGGGAACTATAATTACTACATTTAAAAGTAATTTTCCCCCAGTATATGTCAGATTTAAAACTTAGCTAGGAACATTGTATTCATTATCTCATTTAATCTTTAAACAACCCAAATACTTGGGCAGGTGAGAAGGCTGAGCTGGGGGAAGTAGTTAGAGGTGGAACTGAGGCTTGCTACAGGGCTTGCCCTGAGCGTCTCCCTCAGGTGACATTAGTATCATAAGCAGGCTCCTTCCACGCGGCTGACTCCTCTTCTGTTCCTGCCCAGGTACCTGGCCATAGTGCACCCGTTGAGACCACGAATGAAGTGTCAAACAGCTGCGGGCCTCATCTTCCTGGTGTGGTCCGTGTCCATTCTCATCGCTATCCCTGCCGCCTACTTCACCACGGAAACGGTGCTGGTCATCGTGGAGAGCCAGGAGAAGATCTTCTGTGGCCAGATCTGGCCAGTAGACCAGCAGCTCTACTACAGGTCCTACTTCCTCTTGATCTTCGGCCTCGAGTTTGTGGGCCCTGTGGTCGCCATGACCCTGTGCTATGCCAGGGTGTCCCGGGAGCTCTGGTTCAAGGCGATGCCCGGCTTTCAGACGGAGCAGATCCGCCGAAGGCTGCGCTGCCGCCGCAGGACCGTACTAGGGCTTGTGTGTGTCCTCTCAGCCTATGTCCTATGCTGGGCACCCTTCTATGGCTTCACTATCGTGCGTGACTTCTTCCCCTCCGTGTTTGTGAAAGAGAAGCACTACCTCACTGCCTTCTATGTGGTGGAGTGCATCGCCATGAGCAACAGCATGATCAACACGCTGTGCTTCGTGACGGTCAGGAACAACACCAGTAAGTACCTCAAGAGGATCCTGCGGCTCCGGTGGAGGGCTTCTCCCAGCGGGGGCAAGGCCAGCGCTGACCTGGACCTCAGGACCACAGGGATGCCTGCCACTGAGGAGGTGGACTGCATCAGACTGAAATAAGCAAAATGGCCCTACAGTGCCTGAATGCTCACAGCAACCATGAACTTGTTTTTCTGCAAACACAGAGGAAAGCGACACATTGTTCAAGGGACCCTGAAGTGTAGAATTTCTCAAGTAGATATTTGAGACACTGTCCCCAGTGGTCAGCATTCATGGAATACCTAATTTTTGCAAAGAGTAGACACCAGTGAAAACCATTTATTTGACAAAATGCTGTGGGGATTATAGCAAGGAAATGTGGTACAGAGTGTCTGGAAGAGAGAGTTTCCAGATAGAAGGCAGAACAGGCTCTGTAGAGCTCCCCTGGGAAACACTGGGCCTTGCTCACCTTTAGCAGAACTCTTGGGCTTTCCTTCCCATCCAGCATTGGCAAGCCTGGAACAAGAGCAGCCGCAGAGGTTCTCAGCTCTTCCTGGAGTCATTCTCTGTCCACCCCAGAGCCCAATCGCCACTGGGAATCCAATGCACGTGTGGATTCGCCAGGACCCATGGCCAAGTTCTGACGACCAACTGATGGCCACTTCTTAGGCCTATGGCTCTGCATCAGACAGTGGGGTCTTCTCTGGAGAATGGACTTGGGGGAGAAGCCACACGGACTCTGGGTGCCATTTGGAGTTCTGAGTCACATGGAGAGGGGGAAGTCTGGGCTCACGAGAACGTGGTTCCCTCATGTCACGGTCTACTCACTGCAGGAGAAAAGGAGGTGAAGAAGGGGAGTCAGCTGGGGCCTCTGACCGTGTGCACAGTCTAAAAGATGCTGCTGCTCCATCTCTCAGCTACTGTGGCCTGGACCACTATGCTTCCCCTTGAGTCCTCGTGTCTCTGGGCTTATGGAGCATAGAGACCTTGAAGGTCAGCATGGCACCTACTTCCCCATTCTCTCCAGCTCTCAAACACGAGAGCTTTCAGTCCAGCAAGCCTGTTTGATGAGACTGTCGCAGTGGTAGGACTGGGAGAAAGATTCCTTAGCCACTGATGCTTGACTCTTGGCCTGATCATGATTCTGGGGATTAAGATTTGCTCTATTTTAAAACAAAGGTGACCTGGGAGAAATCACCACCTCTCTACTCTTCAGTGCGAATGAAGGCTTGCATGTCAGTCGCACAGCCTGAACGCAGGAAAAAGAGGTTGGCCCAACGGGGGCTCTAGACTTAGGAAAGTTTTACCCATTTGGTAACGCACCTCCTTAGTTTGACGTTTAGATTTCTGGCTTGAGAAGACCTGAGGCCCAGCTTTGATTGCGCTGTCTCCGCAGGTCTGAGATGAGCCTTCTGAAGACAAGGGAAATACTTGAGAAACTTTTTCGAAGTGTTTGGAGATCAATCAAATAATATGTGGACGATGTGCTTTTACTATTTGAATAGAAAATAACAGCTGCCATTGCCGCCGTCACTGCCGCCACATCACCGCCACCACCACCGCCATCACTGCCATCACCACCACGGCCACCACCACCGCAGTGAACTTAGCAACTGTGTGGTGCCTGGACAAAGGAAAACTTGTATATATATATATATATATATATATATATATATATATATATCTTGTTTATAGATCCATAAGCCTCACCAACATCCCCCCTCAATGTTCTTTATGTGAATTATTTTCTTAGGCTTTTTGACAGTGTGTCATGCCATCCTAACCAGTGACGCAAACAAGACCATGAGCTTTCAAGGCGGATACACAAAGGCAGTGGTGCACGGTCCCCAGTCAGGAGAGAAGCACCAGGTTTTGTAGACACCAGGTCAGAGCGTCCTTGTTGTCAAGTAGGCTTCCCACACGTGCTCCCAGAATCAGAGCATCCTCATAGACCGTCACCCCACATGTTCCCAGTCAGCATGAACAGCGTCTCTCAGGCTGATTTTGTGCTTATGAGTGTGCAGAGCCGTAGAGTGGCCACGTCCTCTTCCGCAGATTTCATTATAGGGTAGGGTACCTGTGTGTGTTTGCTCTCCAAATATAGGCAACTCTATTTTTGACCACAAAACTTCTTTTAATTGTCTAGTTCCCCAGAAAATACATTTCAAAGGCCCATTTACTTATTTTCTCATTCTCTACCCAGCAAATTTACCTTACTTTAAATCAGAATTCTCTCATAGGATGAAAATCCATTAAAGTACAAACCTAAACCACATACAGAGGGGAAAAAACTATTTCTATTTCAAACTTTATTACAAAAATCCAAAAAAACGAAAGAAAAGAAAACTATATATTAAAATTAGCCAGACCCAAAGACTCTTATTTTTTTTGATTAAAACCACATATTACATTATAAAATGACTAAGTTAGTTTCGGCATTTAGAAATGCTTAGATAGTATAATTTATTGGGATTTGTTCCTTGTCCCTACTACCAAGGTTAAACACGAGCTGACTCTGTTAAATAGTTGTTTGTAATCCATGGCATGCGAACTCTTCTGCCTCTCAAAATGTCCCTTACCTACCTGTCTGTGATGGTCCAGGTGTCAGCGCTTGCTTGTGATTTCATGGTGGGTGGCTGTTGTCAAATGGAGTACCAATAGATATACGCATATGCTCACTGACCACACTGTGCCTGTCATTCCTCGTCCCGCGCCCATGCTCTTCTCAGCTCTAATATGAGGGTCTTTGAGATAACATCGGGTAGATTCCATGATCACAGGAGCTGTGAAGCCTCACTCTGCTCTTGTCAAGAGCTCCCCATCTCCATCAAGAGCTGCAGCTGATGGCTGTTTCTTCTTCCTTGAGTCTGGGCGATGGAGCCAAGAAAGCTCTTCAGCACCTGAGTACTAAGATTTGATGTCTGTGGGCCCATTTATGCTGACTCTAGGATTAACCCCTGAGCAGGCCCAGCGTCCACACACACAGGGAGGATGAGGGAGAGACTGATGACTTGGCGCTGCATACAAATTCCCGGGGCTAGCAGCTCAGACAATGGGCTTCTCAAAACCAAACCAAATCAAACAAACAACCAAACAAACAACCTTACATCACAGAAAAGACTACTGGTTAATCCCAAAAGACGACACTCATGACAGGTATTTCTTTTGTGTTTTCTAAATACTTTTAGCATTTAAAGAGATATGCAGATATCCTATGCAGAAGGATATAGATATGATTTTTCAAAATCATACCCTTTCCATAACTAAGAGAGGAAATGAAACATACATTTTTAAATCAAAGACATTGAAACCGATGATGTGGTGGTGGTCACCACTGCATGCTCCGAAGGATGAAGCAAGATCCATGTTTGTTATGGGCAAGGATGCTGCAACACCTGTGAGATGGACGGGTTATTTTTATGACTCCTGTTCTGGAAAAACATGATCTTGAGTAGCCTGCTTGTCCTGTTCTCCTTCCCAGAGTATGAGAACATCAGGTTCAAAACTCAAGATTCTACAGCTGTAGAAACTGAAGTGCATCAGGCCGGTGAGAGAGGGAGGCTGGGGGTGAGGTGGGAGAGGCTGGGGGTGAGGTAGAGGTAGGGGAGGGTGGGGGTGAGAAGGTTGGACATGATGGAGTTCAATGTCACCCAGCTGGACACTGAGAGCCAGTTAGACTCAAGGTTCCGGAAGCTGAGTCCAGCATTCTTGTATCACAGAATTCCTTGGTGCAGGGTTCATAACATCTTAGAGAGGTGGGCTTCTGTCCAGGAATCCTTGAGATGTCTATTCAACCTGCATGAGCTTCTCTGGAGATCCTTAAGGAGTTTAGCAGAGACATTCCTGGCTCCTTTGCAAGCCAAGTTTTAGCTCATTCTACCTCCTGACCTCACAGCCAGCCACAGCGACTCCAAGACTTGGGAAGAATGGCTTAGGCTGCTTCTGATGGCTCTATTTACCTAGCCTAGCCTGAGGCTCTGGAATGCGACAGAACAAAACTTGGCTTCCCTTCCCTAAGATTTAGAGACTGCACAGAGCCAACTCATATCCTTTGGGAGGCCAAAACCATGAAGTTTGCAAATGAGGCAGGATTTGAACTTGAGGATCGAGGCAAGAGAACACAATGTCACAGAACCAGAAGCATTTTCTACTTCTGGTAAGCAAAGGTTGTCCCCATAGTATTGAAACTGTGGTCTCTTTGAGAAAGAAATTAAAACCTTAAAAGCATATAAATATAATTAAGGGCTATCACAGTCTTCCCTTTTCCCTCACAATGCTTCCCAGGCTGGAGTGAGAACCACTTCAGAATATGTGTAGGAGACTGTTCTTTTTGGAGTTTGTATGACAGTCAAGTTTAAGTCTGAATTGACTGTATTAATAAACACGGAGAAGACACACTGTGATGTGTCTGTGACAGATTCCCAGAGAGGATTTATTAAGAAGGGAAGGCCTTCTGGAATGTGGGTGCACCATTTAATGACTTGGGGGCCTGGACTAAATGGGAAAACAGAAAACCAGCAGAACACCAGCTCCCGCCTCTCCTTGCTTCTCTGCCCATGGAGACTCAGGTTCACACTCTCCCTGACACACACCCCTATCTGCTTCCCTTCTAGACTACTGAACCCCCGTGGGTTTGGTCCTTCCAAGCTGTGATGAGAATAAAGCCTTTCATTCTTGTTGCTCTATGGGTATTTAGTCACAACAACAGGCCAGGTGATGAATACAGTCTGAAAGAGCTTATGGTTTTCATCTATCCCACGTGCATCTGCTAGTCTCTATCTCATCATTTTTTATTTAGTTATATTCTTTGCCATATTTCCCTAATAGAAGTGTAAGTGTTCATGTGCTATATATATCTTGGAAGGTGTCTTAATCAGTGTTCTTTTGCTGCCAAGAGACACCACGACTGAGGCAACTCCTATAAAGGATGCACTGAACTGGGGCTTGCACTTCCAGAGGTTTGGTCCATTTTCACCACGGCAGGAAGCATGGTAGCACACGGGCAGCTCTCCAGGCACACAGTGCTGGAAGACCAACTGAGTTTTACAACTGGGCCTGGCTCGGGCGTTTGAAACTTCAAAGCCTACCCCAGTGACACACTTCTTCCAACAAGACCACATCTATACCAGCAAGGCCACACC